AAAAAGAAAAGAATCATTGTAATTATAGCGCTTAATATCAAGAGTAGAGTAGTAAATCTCTCTCTCTCTCTCTCTCTCTATATATATATATATATATATATATATATATATATATATAGGATTGGTGTATACTGAATAAATTCCAATAACCAAAAAGTACTATTCTTAAAAGAGTGTTCAGTTCAGAGTAGATCAAATATAATTTATTCGAAAATTATAACATATATATGTTATACAATCGCTACAAAGATAGCCATTTACTTTCAACACTTCTGGTGTTGAAACACCATCTTGATAAGACATGTTATAATTTGCGAATAATATATATATATATATATATATATATATATATATATATATATATATATATATATATATATATATATATATATATATATTACAGGATATAGAAAATTAAGAAGAAAAATAAATAATGAGCGGGAAGTGGAAAGAGTAATTTAATATTTGATTTTATGATTTAATATTTCAGGCTTATTCACTTTTCAACAAATCTATGTATATACAAATACACCAATGACAGGACTTAAATTACTTTTGGTGCTGATATGATATTCATGATACTTTGTTTCGTCAAATCAATTATTTAAATAAAGTTTATAAATATTGATATTTCCGTCCGCAAAGATATTCCTTGTATATTATAATTATGTACACCTATGTTCTATGCGCGCAAAACGTGTGTCGGGTGGGACTACGTTCGTAAGTATGTTAACGAGTTCATGTATATATAAATATTCATTTGCTACCGGAAACTGTTTAAAAAAAACTAGAACAGGATTTGTTCTTCGGAGTCCAATTTTAAGTCTTATCACCATGTTCATGTACACACACGCGCACATACACACATGAACACATACATGCACCTACTGTTATCTGATTATCCCATCCTTTCCTTTCATATTTTAGTTTTCTATTCAAACACTGTAGGCAATATGTAGCCTAATTTTACACATTCCGTGTTTTGAGAGACAATTCATTTGCCAAAGAAATAATTTCTCTCTTCTTTGAAAAGAGGCATGCAATATATACCTATAATGCCCGATTAACTGGTAAATTAAAATAATGTGAAAAAATAGATCCCAAATTCAAAAACTCACGATGACTAAATTCTGTCCGTCATAAACTTGCTTTTTCATAATGTTCTTTATGTCATTTATATGCTTCATTCGGTTTTAGCATTTTACACACAAAAGAATAGAATAACATTTTCACCTTTATTTTAATACAAAGTTTTACACCATACCCCCCTCATGTTTCTAGTTAGAGGAATGAAAATGAAAATTCTCAACTTAGTGTTCTATTGCTGAATTATATGTTTAAACAGAATAAATTTTATGCACACCTGAAGTGTCCCTATTGCATTGACGTCAATGTGAGCAGCACGACAGGTATCTAATGACAAACACTTGCGATTACAGTTTAACTGCGCTGTCCTCTGATATGATAACTCAAGACACACTTTACAACACATAAAATGTTTAGGTTATACTGGTTTGTCACAAATTCGGCCTCGTTTTTGGCACTCTATAGATATTCCCTCCATACCTAAGCAGATCCTACTTCCATAGTTGAGAGAAATAGAAAGACAGGTTTGAGACGAAATAAAATAAACAAGCTCGCTTTTTTTTTAATTTCTTTTCGACATTTGAAGGAATCCCACTTCTTACTCCATCCACCATGTTTCTTTCATTTCATCTATGCCACTTTCTGTTATGCCTATTTTATTAAATTATCTTCATCCTTGTTTTTCTCTCCTGCTATTTGTTACTGTTTCTATTTTACTCTTCATCATTTATCTTTACTAAACTTACTTTAGTATAGTCCAAGGACCCCAAGTTGGGAAACTTTGAAATCGAGATGTAGTAGAAAGGGGGTTCCTATATCAAAGTTTCGGGAGTAGGGGGCAATACCCTAGCACTGGTCCCGACTGTGGCACCCTCATTAAAATTGTCACTTCTTTAGTGAATTATGCTGAAAATCTGCAAGTACTTATTCTCATAAATACTGCAACAAATTTCCGAGATTCAGATACATTTGAGGTCCACTTGCCAAAGATCACTAAACAGAAAAGGGTTTTATTTTCGAACACTGTATCTGCGCTTATATCAAGTTATGTTCTATGCTTGTGCAAGAGTATTATTCGTTCGTTATATATTTATGTTCATTTGCAATTTACAAATACAAAATCAAACTTTCATTTTTTATGGATATTTAAACAGCGTCATACGGACTACGGGTTAGTTTTGAAGATTTTTAGATTCAAAATAAAAACAAATAGGAGCCTCTTGTAAAATACTCTTTATAGAAATGGTAAAAATGTAAATAAATGTATTATATTTTATTCTTTTGTCGTCACACTTGTTGAGTAAAAATTTTAAATGTTAAGGTATTTGACAAAGAAGGCCCTCTGTATAATTGCTGACAAAGACGGGTAGGTCCATCTTTAGTGAATCACTGAAAATTTAAAATCATTTATAATAAACAATAGGTAAACTTTACAGATTTGAAACATCCAATATGATAAAGATGTAAAACAGAATATAAAGATTGATTAGAATGTTGACAAAAATATAAAAAAAACTATTGCAAGTAAAATTGTTATTCATAATCGTGAGGCATATGCAAATGAATGTTGCATTGTGAAAAAAACAACAAAACTATGCTATCTTTTTACAGTAGATAAACGCATGTGTTCTTTTCCTTTTTCAGACATTTCAGATGAGAGTTATCTCTCGACGAAATTAGTCTTGAACAAGATAAAAATCTCATTTCAGCGAAATTTATAAATATTTATATAAATTAAAATATCAGTTTTGAATCGGATGTGAGGATTTCAAGTTTAATGTTTTCACACACACACACACACACACACACACACACACACATATATATATATATATATATATATATATATATATATATATATAAACAAATTTTGTTAACTTCAGTCTACAAGGTTCGTCTGATTTACTTTTTTTGTTGATTTTTCCATTTTTCGAGTAAGTTCCGATCAAAATTTTGAATAAACTTTACAATTTCCTTTTTCGAGTACTTTCGAAAGTCTCGGTTATTATCAAGAGTTAAATGTTGTCAGTATCGTAGATAAAAGTTTTCTTAGATGAATTCTGGCATTTTTGCATCCACTATATTTCAAATTTAAATATACATGTATCGTATAAGTTATATTATGTGTACAACGGTTTCCCAGAGCTTGACAGTTCCAGAAAAACGATTAAATATTTTATATATATATATATATATATATATATATATATATATATATATATATATATATATATATATATATATATATAAAACAATCATTTCACACAAAGGCTTTACGAATTGTTAACTTATTATAACAGGAGCGCATCTGCCCCCAAATGCAGCCTGCGCTAGTGTAATCTACTTTTGTCTAGTCAACTACGAACAATACATTGCAATATAAGCTTACGTCCGCCTTCCAAGCCTTCGAATAACACCAACGATTTTAAATCTCTTCTGTATTCTTAGAAGTCAGTAGGATTTGTTTATACTGTTTATGCTTTTATCTTTTATTACTATTTTTTAATTAAATAATATGGTAGTTAATTACAGGACAGTGTAAAACCTATTTCTGTAATAAACGTCAAAAGTCAAACATGAATATCATGAACCATGTGAGCAACGTCGAAGTTCAAGAGAAAGTCAAGAGATACAGATAAAAACAACGCATAACTACTTGACGAACTTGGAAGAGATAACGAAAAAACAAAATTTATTGACAGCTACAAAAAACAGGATGTTGTGGAGAACCATGATCGCCAACGTCCTGAAGGGACATGGCACAACAAGAAGAAGAAGACAATTTTAACTGTGAATTTGGTATTTCCAATTGGACCCCTCAATTTCTAAGACCGGTCCTGATTTTCACTAATTTGAGGTTTTCACAATCATTTACCATATCTTCAATTTTTTTCTTTACACATAAGATATAGCAGTTCGTTAAATCATGAAATTTGAAGCATTTAATAACATACACAGTGGTCATCTCTTGGTTTTTATAATTTATTTCCATACACACGTGTAAACTTGTTTGTGCATATGCACAGGAGTATTTTTAATCAATGTATGCGTTTGTATATAATGTGTATATGCGCTTTCACTTTAGAAATGCACTTATTTTTCTGCACATTTGAAAGTATATTTAAATATGTAGTCTTACTGTATCTTTATACATAACAGCATATTACAGTTTATGCATATGTGATTACTTACTTCTCTGTGTGTACGGTGATTTAATTTTTTGAGCGAAAGCAGATAGAATATGTAAACAATATTGTCATTGAATAATATATATTTGATATATTTGTGTATATTTTGAAGTAAGCGTAGTTTTATAGTCTTTATACCCATGCGCCCGTGGATGGTGCCTTAATGTACTTGCTTTCTTAAAAAGTGAGGTTTACAAAACCACAGATATGTTTTTATGAATGTGTACACACACAAAAAAAAGAAAAATCCCCGATTCACAGAATTGTCAAACATTTGTGCGTATTTGATTGCATGCGTTTCTTCTGCTGTGCTTATTTTAAATTTGCGTAAGTAAATTCATAATAAAAATGCGTAATGTTGTTTATTTTCAAATACTAAAAACAAATATACCCGTGAAATCAAAGTTAAAGAAGAACAAAGGCAAAATGAGAAATAAAAGGCATAGTTTAATAAATTATTTTTTAGCTCAAAATAGATTTTGTATACGTAGACTAAAATAAAAACAAAAAAAAAACTCGAATATTCTACTCAGAAAAATGGACATTATACTGTAACAGTTTTAGACATCAAATATTGATTTCATAGAATTCTATATAATAACATCCCGGGTACATTGTATACAATTTAACTTGTTTTATACACAAATCAAGTCCAATTTCATAAAAAAAAATTACTTTAAAGCTATACTTTAAAACTTTTTTGAAAAAAGAAAAATGATGACATACCATGATAGTAGATATTTTGCAGATTATTACTCAATACTGTGTATATATATATACTCCGTTTGTTCGATGATGTTTTTTTTTTCTTTAGCTACACTTGTCTACTTTACACTACTCCAAAACTTCCTTGGTGTGCGTGGGTGACTTCTAATTCGAGATTCGAGCGAATGAATGGAGTTACATTATGAATGCACATATGTTTGTGTATACCAGAGAGTTTATTTATGTTCGTGACTTAGCGAGATTTAACGAGAGTGGCCTGTTTGAAAGAATCAGCTTCACATAACCCCACCTAGAAGTAGTTGATGAATAACAGCAGAAATACCATTTTGAGTATGTGTGGCTGACGTCGGGTCACGATAACAATTTTTACAGCCACTCTTGTGGTTTAGTTAATGATAGAGTGTATACAACGGACGGGATAAATTTGTGAGAAAAGTTAAGAGTGGCATAATAAGGATTGTTGAAAAGCAAAAAGAAAAGAACACGGGACAAAATACAAGCGGGAGACACGTTGAAAATAATTAAAAAAAAACACTGTGCATTGACCCAAAATATACATATTCCGTTACAACGCACGGACCTTCTATGATGCCTTTTATCTTTAGTACTCAATGAGGGGAGACTTGAGGCATCGGAGAAGGATGTTGAGACCATGGAAAGTTTTAATAAAAATGAAAATAAAAATGCCACATACTAAGAATCAGAAAAGGACAATTGAAATGTCTAGGACAAATAAAAAGGAAAGAGGACTTGAAGAATTTGACACACACACACAGCATATATTAAACGACAGAGAAAAACAGCGAATAACCTACTTAAAGTGCTTGAGAAAATGGATAGCACACCTGGTAAAAAAGATAAACATTAATTAGAGCGAAAAATAATAGGAAGTTGTGGCGAGCTATGATCACCAACGTCCAAAAGGCACGGCGCATAAAGGAAGACTCAAAGTGACTACAGACATTTTGAGGTCTTTACCCATAAACCCTTTAAGGACTATATATGAAGTATTACATAGAAGTGTATATAGCTATGCGCTGTTGAGATGCGCTTCATTTGTTCGCCTTTTAACCTAATCATTACATAATAAAGCAAAGCACGCGCGCGCGTGTGCGTATTCGCGCTCGCGTGTGTGTGTATGCAACTTTTTAGTAAGAAGAAATAATATCAAGTTTTAGAAAATTGCTTTGTTTACGTTTCAGGTATGAAAATCTAATCTGACAGCACGAAGGTGAAATGTACATTTCTTAAAAAAGTTAACTGAGCTTTGTCTGGCTGTAAGGACCTTCTTGCTTTTCCAGATAAAGAGAATGCATTTTCGATCTTTACCGGGAGGTACCATTTCTTTAACAAGACTTTTGATAATCCAGACCGATAGACGTTAATTTCACTGTTTAAAAAAAGGATGACTTCTCTAATATCACTAAAATAGTTTCTATTAAAAATAAATATATATATGAAGCAAACTGATGACATCAACTTGGGACAAGGTTATCACAGTGGATAGAGAAAATAGTTGGTAGATGATAATCAAACATTATCATTATTTGTCATTATTGAGTTTTTCCATCAGTAGAAATGTGTGATATGGAGATCAATTAAAAGGAAATCTTCTCAACATATATTAGTAATATTTTCTTGTTCTTTCCTCTCTTTAACTGTTGTGAAGTATGTTTGCCATAAAACTGAGAAGAGATCTATCCTCTAAGGGTAATTGTTCAACATTTACGGTTCAGAAATGAAAAAGGAAAGGTTTACTGAAAGCCCACTTCTTTGTTCTTTGTAAGCATGAACCTAAACACTATATATAAAGAAACACTATATTTGTTTGAATAATGATGTATTCTGATAAACAATTTCTTAAAGACTAAAATGTTATTAGGCTTTAGTCAAAACATGAAATACCAACTCTCGTACTAATTTTGGCAGCCGGTTCTCACCTGACATGACAAGTCGAGTATAACTGATTTCATACGAGATTTCAACAATTCATAAGGAAACAATTTGCAAATATTACATCGACTGGCATAAATAAACTGCATAATTCATAAAACAAATCTATCTAAAGAGGAAAACGTGAGCAGTAATAATTTACATATCAACAAATTGTTTAACCAATGAAAACCGTATAATGACTGTAACCATTATTTTATATATTATAAAAGGATCAAAACTTTTTTCAAATCATGATTGTATTACTTAAAAATTACTTCATATTTTATAAGTATACCGAATAATTGGATGCAATTGGTATTTACTGACATATTTGTATTTGATCTAAAAGTTACTCGATACCAAACTAGAAATAATTTCTAAAAACACTAATGTACAATACAAAACTATTTGCAACATTTTGTCTGTCTTTAAACATTTTTAATTCATTGAATATGAATATGTCTTTCAGTGATAGGGTTTTTTTACCTAAAGCAACACTAAATCGATTATTACTTTTCGTGTTAGTTAATGATTATAACGAATTCAATAAACTAATTTTCGAATAAAATATTTTATCATTATTATTAATAGTAGTAGAAGTAGTAGCAGCAGTAGTAATTGCAGTAGTAGTAACAAGATAGAATTTAAGAACGTTGCTAAATATATCAAACAGACTTACTTGAAACTTCTGCAAAACAAAAGACGCACTTCTACTTTGTTCACCAGAACACTGTCGACTGATAAAAATTCATTAAATTATACCGAAGTGTATCACGTCAACAAAATACAGTTGCTTAGCAACAGATCCGCGTATAAATTTTGTTTTGCATAACCCCATGGCGACCAGTTCTCGACAGACCATTTTGACGCTTGTAAGCAATTACATGATGGCGTCTGGGTTTCTATGGCATAGTCGTCCAGGCTATATTTGATATTCTGTTAGTACACAGTGTTTCTGTTTCCAACGCCGATATATTTTCCTTCTATTTTGTTAGAAATCAATTTTTCGTCAAAAAGAAATGTTTATTCTCATCTGAATGTTGGATATATATTATTTCTCTCTTATACTTTCGCGACAGCATAAACGCATTCTTATAAAAATTCATAGCCAACTCAATAATGAATCAATGTTCCTGTACATATATCAAAGTGCACGTATATGTGTACATGCGTTTAAGTGTGTGCATTTCTGTGTGCACATGTACGAGCGTCAGTCAGTGATTGGGAATTAATAAATGAGAATAAATGACGAAAATCGATTTGGGCAATTGATAGAAATAAGCTTAGACTTTGAAGTTCGATGGCTCATTTCATATAACAGGGATAGTGTGTGTCACGCGGATTTCCGCAGACATTTTTTTTAGCACGTTTTTTTAATACCATGTCCGTTCAGGACGTCGTCGGTGATCACAGCTCTCCACAGAGTGTTTTTTTTCCTTTATTATCTGTGAATTGCTATTTTTTGTCAAGAAAAATATTAGTGAGATTTCATATTGCTTTTCATATTGCTTTTCCGCGTATTTGATTTTAAAGTAGTCTTTCGTCTAAACTGGCTGCTAACCAAGCCTAGAGAGTCCTGTTTTTCCTTGTATTTAACCCATAGATAGTGGGTTAAGAGATGGAGACATGTCTTCTCAAGGTCATTAGCGTGAAGTGAACACAAAAGATTACACAGGAATTTGAACTTGGATTGATGATACCATTTTCTGCCCCGATAACGTGTCACTTTAAATGACACATTGAAAAATATGTCATTTGCTGAAAACTCTCTTCATATTAGCAAGTACCTAGGATATATACTAATCTGATGTCTCCTATAAGGCATTTTCTTAGCATGTATCAGAGATATTTCTAAATGTTTTAGAGCTTTCCTTCACTATAACTAATTGTCAATATGCGGTAATCCTTGATAAGGATCACAGATCTTGAAATCATATATATATATCTTGTTTTTTGTTCATCCAAACTCGCACTCTGGATGAACAGGATTTTAATGCATATATTATGTTTTCTAGCGATGGATGTCGCCAATAATCGCATTAATACTTCTGATTAATTCTATGTGATTATTCTTTTGTATGTAAATCATATGCTGCCTAATGTTTTATGTTTATTAAAAAAACTATCGATCCGCAGTACAAAAAAATTCTTATAAAAAAAAAACTACTACTAAGACATTACACTATATTATTGAACTATATACTTAGTTCATGACATAAAAACTAATACACTTTGTAAAATAGAATATGTGGATTTAACACATCACAAGAAATATTTAAATAAAATTCCCACTTGAAAAAATTTTCAAAATTTAGCGTTGCGTCTTTGCGCGTTCCACGATCTTACACACCCGTCAACAATAGCAGATATTCAAAAAACATCTTTCGGTGGACATACAGATATATCGTCTCAAGTTTTTGATTTTATAAGATAAACAACACATGCCTGATGATGGATGGAAGGCCGTCCGTAAGTACTAGCATTTTAACATCAAATAAACTGAAAATTACAGACAACAAGTTTTTTCTTCAAGGATCAAAACTCGCACTCTGGATGAACAGGATTTTAATGCATATATTATGTTTTCTAGCGATGGATGTCGCCAATAATCGCATTAATACTTTGATTAATTCTATGTGTGATTATTCTTTGTATGTAAAATCATATGCTGCCTAATGTTATATATATATATATATATATATATAAAGAAAGAAAGAAAGAACAGTACGATATATAATCCGGTTTTCTTATAGATATTTTTATTTTTACAAAATAATGCTCAATGTAAATTTACAGAGCATTAATATTATAAATTAACTGATTTAAAATATGTTTTTTTTTCGCTACACAGTTCTAACCATGTTTCAAAAATGGAAGCTAAAAGCTTCGAATTTAATTTTGTAATTAAATTAAAGACATTAGTTCCATTTCATCCTCAAGCGAATTTTGGAGTAACTTATTTTTAAATTTACTGGGTTTTAAAGACACGGCAAAAATCATAATTTACTGTCTCCAAGGATACAGAGAAATCTGTTCATCCAGACATATATAAAGACTATTGTTAAGTA